TCCCTGTGATAGGAGAGGGGCAGGGAGAAAGAAGCAATATGGTGCCTACCAATTGACTCGGGTCTGTGGGACAGGAGATATGGTATTGCAAGGGAACTGGGAGCCAGGTGCCCTGTCTGCAAGAGGCTCACTGCTTACTTGCCATAGCCATCTCTGGGCTGGTGTTAGTGGTCTCTCCAGAGGCTCAAGACCCCACCAGCAAACTGAGATGCAAGGGAGGGGAAATTTAACTGCTCCATCTACCCTTGTTATTATGGAAGTGAACGTAATGTGAATAGCTGCAAGTGTGATGATCATTCTTCTGAATGTTCTGGGATATTTTTGATCAGTATGGACCCATTAGCAGAAGAATCCTGCATTAACTGAATGATTTGGAGAGGTGAGTAGGCTATCAATTATAAATGATGTACAAAGTAACCCAGGCACCAGATTTCATCATACCTAATCATATAAATCTGAAGAAGGCAAGTATTTTGATGCATGTAAATCTTATGTTTCTATCAAGAATTAATCTTCTCCGAAGCATTATGCTCGAAGTTACATAAACTAATGTGCAGGTTGACACATTTTCAGTATATTTTTAGTATGTAACTTGTTAATTTGATTAAAGGAAAAATACATTTAATACTCTATTAACTGGATTATGGTATATATTATTCTGCTTGAATTATTAAAATAATTGTAGTTATGTTTATATAATCTGGAAGATATTTAAAATTTTCTTCTTTTGTTATCTGGAGAAATAAACAGAATTTATTACCACAAATTTCCACCCTTTGATAATTTATTCCCCAGCCTCCATTATGGCAGTTGATCATGAATAGCCCATCATTAGGGATTCTTAATTGATAGGAGATAGGATATAGATATTTAGATCTTAACTCTGAGGAAGGCTCAGATCTGAAGTTCTCTAGCTTCTTAAAATGATGCTTTTCTTGAATTATTTTCAAGAAGCAGGAGAAAGAAATGATTAAGTCATCTCTGGAATAAAAATATGTGTTTTCAAAAGTTCCATTCAAGTATAGAATTTGTATTTCAAATACAAATTGGGTGATCTTCAGTGTCAACACTGAACATCTTAACTACAGGTTAGTAAAGAGCTTTTGAGATATATATAAATATGTGTAAAACATAAGTCAAATAGAGACTAATTTATTATATGATTTTGTACAATAAACCATTGAAGTACATCATAATAACTTGTCAGTTAAAACTAAATGTTGTCATTGTTAGTTGTATTTGTATTTTAATTTAAAAATAGCATTAGTTTGTATACAATCTATCTGATTACAAATTTTTCCTGATTACAAATTTACAGTCATTTAATAATTTTTGAAAGCTTCTGCAATCCATAAAGAGTTTTCTGAAATCAGAATTCTACTTGAATCTATTTTATTGCATTTCTTTTAATATCCATTTTCAAAAGAGCATTATTGAGATATAATTTACATACCATAAAGCTGACTCATTTTAAGTGTACAATTCAATGGGTTGTAGTATATTTACAGAGTTGTGCAATCATCACCAATATCTAATTTTAGAATTAGATGTTCTTTGCTTTGACTCAATACCAAATTAGGAGTTTCTTCATATTTGTTTCCTGAGTTTTCCATTTGATTATTTCAACTTTCCATTCACTTAATCTTTATAAAACACTAAATTAGATATAATTATAGTTTAGATTTACATGTAAAATTTTTCATGGGCACAAAGAGAAAAAGAATTTCAAGAAAAGTACAACTCCATGACCTGTAAAATGTATGCTAGGATGGGCATCAGGGCACTCTAACTAAACTTGTTGGGAGTTCTTGATTTGTGCTTGTGCCTATTGTGCCCACCACAGCATTTGGTTTCAGATTTAAAACTCCAGTCTAAAAATGGGTAGCATCTAAGTGCCATAATTAAATTGCATTAAATTAAATCGCAATTAAATGTTTTAATATGGTGGTCTTATAAAAGTTCAAGAGGAACAAAGTGGATTTTGAGTCCTCATTATCTTGGCAAAAGCCTATTGTGATCTGAGTGGCCTAAAACAGATACAATAACCATTAATTCTTTTAGATTTTAAAATTCTACCACTATATCAAGTTCACATTATTAGAATACTTCACATCTATAATATGTTACTTTATTTCCCTGTAGAAGCCTTACAAAATTATTCTTTCATGTTATATTCCTCAATTTTATAAAGGAGCAGCATATAAAAGCTCCCACAAAGGACAGTTATGCATCTTTTGTGAAATTGCACATGAAGAATTCTGTTCTGTGTTCTTTATGAAAAGGTTTATACAATATTTTACTCTTAGTGAAAAAAATGAGGCTCCAATTTATTTCTCATGAAGAAGTAACCATGGGACCTATACATCCTATCCTACTTCATGTGGAAGCTCAGAGCTACAGTTTTTAATGACATGCAGAATTTATCAGTCATTCATTTATAACTGTGAAAATACTCCCAAAAATTATTGCATAGATTTTATGCTCTGGTCCTTGTTGAGATGTCCTGAAAAATATTTCTTTTTTTGCAAGTCATCCTAAAATCCTCTCAGTCAGTTTATGAATAATAAATCTATAAATGAATTTGATCACTGGCTCTTTAATCCCAAACACAACTAATTAAAAAAATGATAACAGCAATAGTAAAAATTTGTGGGATTCAAGGAACTGTATAAAACTTATGTTAATTGTTGTATTTTCCTCTGTATTGATTGGGTTCTATACTGAATTAAGTGAGATGGAAAACTGTGTTAATGTTCTATAGATACAGTCTGAACCAGTGAGTGTGTATGTGAGCAATGGAGTAAGGAAGAAGACAGCCTGACTACTGCCAAGGGACTTCCTGGAAGGATTTGACATTGTCAAGATTCCAAAATAAGCATTAAGGAGATAACCAAGTTGTATAACTTGATAAAATAACTAAAAATCATTGAATAAACACTTCAAATGGGTGAATTTATGGAATATAAATTATACCTTAATAAAGTGGTTTCAAAACAAAAGATTCTAAGCAGGTTTAACATGGGAGAAATCTCAACACTATTACTCTTTAGGAAGCGATATCTTGAGTTGAACCTTAATTGGAGAGTAAGATACAAATACCCTGAACCAGATCTTTCTTCTGGTTCATTTAATCAAAAAGCATTACAACAAATTATATCATAAGTTTCTGATCCTTTTTTTGAGAAAAAAATATCTTCTTACTATTAAATCTTAAAAGTAAAAATATATTCTCATTATAAATACATGAAAAGCAAAATAATTATAAAGAAATATATTAATGAGATACTATTCTGTATCTCTATTAGCCTGATAAGTATCAGTCTATATTCCTCTTTTTCTTCTTTTTCTCTCTCCCCCTCTCTTTCTCTTTAATTTTCCAATTACAGCCCATATTTCTAGCTTATTGAATGAAGAATTCTATAAGTTAAGCCTGTCATATTTTGTTATCTATAAATTTACTGATCATGTGTTATTGAGATTGTTGATGAAGGCTGGGGTAAAGGAAAGTGTCTCATAGCCTATAATCACATGTTGTCCTCCCAGATTGCAGAGGTTAACACTGTAAATTAAAAATTTTGTGGTTTTGTTTTTCTGGCCCCAGTTCCCACCCACTGTCCAAGGGAGACAGGTCTAAATTAAAACTTTACGTAACTGTGCTATTGCTTAGATCAAATTTTTCTCAAAGACATTATCTGAGAATATGAGAAATGCCTTTCTACAACATATAACACAATAATGATACCTTTTAAAAGTTACTAAACAACATACATAACTTGAGTTGGTAATTTGGGAACTATCCTGTATTTATACATCACCCCCAAATAGGCATTTATATCCAGAATATGCTTTTTTTTTTTTAGCTTAAAGTGATCTTTCTTCTTTAAATTTTATCTTCAAGGAACAAAATTTATTTATTTTCTTGGCTTCAGGAGAGAGACACAGTAATTGGTGTTTAGATACATAGATAGAGCCACCCACCAGCATGCCTTTGCTAGGTTTTATTTTGTGTTTGTGTGGTTAAATGGAGAAAGAGAAGGAGAAAGAGAGACTTGATAACATATATGTAGTTTTCTGTGTTTTGCGTGGTAACATTGTTTTTTAAATTAAGCTTTAATTTCAATTTTTAGTCTGATGTTTAGGAACAATTAATTACCCATTGAGCAATGACATAAACACAGATAGGGAGAACATGACACCATACAAAAAATCTTCAAATTCTCCTTGATTTTTGGTTCACATTCTGCATTTGCTTAATTCCATGTTTTCACATGAACGAAAGCCATAGAAAGGAGGAAAAAAGTGTTCCTACAACTCTCACCTATGCTAAAATCTTCCAGAATGTCCAACTGACTGCCCCTGAGGAAACACTGAAGTCTGAAAAGGGCAAACATACATGATAGTGTGGGCTTGTTTAGAATCTTCTATATTTTAAATTGTCTGTCTCTTACAAGTTAAAAATAATACTGAGATAAACTTAGTTGATCATTTTCATGTGCCCAGCAGTTAATGAGCACTTTTGCTTACATTTCTTCCTTCCTTTTAGTCTCTTTCTAATTGACAAATAAAAATTATACATATTTATGGTGTACTGCATGATGTTTTGACATATATATTTTATAATGTATACATTATGGAATGGCTAAAATCAAGCTGCATAACATATGCATTACCTCACATACCATTTTTTTGTGGTGATAACATTTAAAATCTATTCTTATCAATTTTTAAGTATACGATGCATTCCTAATAGCTATAATAACCATGCTATACAATAGACCTCTTGAATTTATCCCTCCTGTCTTCCCCCATTTCCCAGCCTCTGGTAACCACCAATTTACTCTCTGTTCTTTAAGTCTGACTTTTAAAATTCCACATATAAGTGAGATCCTTTGATCTGCCTGGTTCATTTCACTTAACATAATGCAGGTGTATATACGTTGTCACAAATAACAGAATTTTATTTTCTTTAGATAGATTCAGAGTAAAATCTGAAACCTGAGACAATGGCCCTACAGAATTACTCCTTGGTGTCAGAATTTGTGTTGCATGGTCTCTGCACTTCAAGACATCTCCAAAATATTTTCTTCGTATTTTTCTCTGGGATCTATGTTGCCATCATGCTGGGTAACCTTCTCATTGTAGTCACTGTAATTTCTGATCCCCACTTGCACTCCTCCCCTATGTACTTCTTGCTGGGAAATCTGTCTTTCCTGGACATGTGGTTGGCCTCATTTGCCACACCCAAGATGATCAGGGATTTTCTTAGTGATCAGAAACTCATCTCCTTTGGAGGGTGTATGGCTCAGATCTTCTTCTTGCACTTTACTGGCGGGGCTGAGATGGTGCTGCTGGTTTCCATGGCCTATGACAGATATGTGGCCATATGCAAACCCTTGCATTATGTGACTGTAATGAGTCGGCAGACTTGCGTCAGGCTGGTGTTGCTTTCCTGGGTCATTGGATTTGTGCACTCCATCAGTCAAGTAGCTTTTACTGTGAATTTGCCTTACTGTGGCCCCAATAAGGTGGACAGCTTCTTCTGTGACCTCCCTCTAGTGATCAGACTTGCCTGCATGGACACCTACGTCTTGGGTGTGCTCATGATCTCAGACAGTGGGCTGCTTTCCATGAGCTGCTTTCTGCTCCTCATGGTCTCCTACACTGCCATCCTCCTCACCGTCCGACAGCGTGCTGCTGGTGGCATATCCAGGGCACTCTCCACGTGCTCTGCTCACATCACGGTAGTCACGCTGTTCTTTGGGCCTTGCATTTTCATTTATGTGTGGCCTTTCAGCCGATTCTCCGTGGACAAGCTCCTGTCTGTGTTTTATACCATTTTTACTCCACTCTTGAACCCCCTTATCTACACATTGAGAAATGAGGAGATGAAAGCAGCTATGAAGAAACTGCGAATCCGACAGGTGACTTTTCACTGAATTCCAGCTTTCCATGATGCTATATATTCCTACTCATATGGGAGATATCATTTGTTCAATATGATTTTGCTCAAGGATTTCCTTCTGACATTATATTGATATAATTTATAAGATGTTGTATTACAGAAACAGAAACACGGTTGATTTCAACAAAAATTTTATGTAGAATTTTATTGTATATATACAATAATATGCACTGTATGCAATTATTTTATATATAATTATATTTTATATATAAAATACACACATATATATATCTTCAACACCACACATACATTTTTTGAATGAACTCTGCAATATTATTTCTTTTTTTCAACCAGATGTATCTTACGAGTTTATTTTGCCTAAAAAAAATTAATTTTCATTTTCCTTCTTTTTTTGTAACCACAGTTATTGTTTATTGCATGTATACTATATGCCAGGCCTTGGGTACTGTGTAAAACTGCTCCCTGATGCTTACAGGAACATTTCAAGAGGCTGAGTCAATTTCTGAAGGTCACACTTTTACTTTTACTCAGTGGATGAGACACAGGAATCAAAATAGATCTATCAGGTTCCCAAATCTGTTTTCTACTGAAAGGACTGCATTCTTACCTGATACTGGGGAATGGTCTGCAGTTGCCTGGACAGCTGGGCAATGATTAAGGGGAACTCTGGGGACTGGAGCAGGGTGAGGTAGGATGGCAGGGTGATTACAGAGGCCAAAGAACAGGAGGAACAAGGAGAATCCTGAGAGGGTCCAATTAGAGGCGAAAGCCAGAGTAAAAGACAACTCAAAAGACAGGAGACGTAGGCCAGGAGATGGCTGTAATACACTACGTGGCCAGACTTGGCAGCTCTATTTAAACATCTGAAATGTCACAAAGAGTGAACAGATTCATTTACTGTTTCAAGAGAAGGCAAAACTAAAAAGTACATTCAATTTTAATTTATGAAACCACTCAATCACCTGAGACATATCTAACAGCCATCTCTAGTTTTGTCAGCCTAACACTCTTCCCTTCTGTGAAAAACTTTCCTCTATTCCAACTATAAGGTTCTAGTGAAGAAACCTATAAAGACAGATAAAGCCTGGCTCTCTTGCCCGCTGCTCACCCCCTGCTGTGCGGCTACGTTCCCTACAGGGCACTGGCTGGTTCTGGTCTGTGTCCTGGGAGTTGGGAACCTCAGCTCTAAACTGCTATCGTGCTAAAACTGTCTTTTGATTTATAGACTTTGGATATAGTCAATTTTATAATCACTTACACCCATACATGTGCACATCAAAAGAGCTTAAAGAGAAATCAACATCTGCCTCAGGAGTAATTTCTTTAACTGTTATTGATAGAATATTGCTTTTTGACTTATTGTAAACTTTATACATCGCCATTTTAATCGTAAAAACAAATACTATTTATATATTAATTTATTCAATTACTAAATGTTTTTCTATTTAAGAACATATTTCCTGATTCACAGATCTTTCAATTTGGTAAAATAGAGGCAAATATACAATCACAAAACATGCTGCCAAGTGACAACTATGGTAGGAATAAACAGGATATGTGCTGTGAGCACATGAACAGGAAATCTAACCCAATCCTGATTGTTAGGAAAGACTTCCCTTATTCCTTCAACTTTTCTCTGATTTCCTAGGATTCTGTCTTATTAAATTATACATATATGTAATTATATATTGAATTATATATTTATATACAATATATAGTATGTTTATATACTGTGTACACTATATATATTTATGCATAATATATAGTATGTGTTCATTTGTGTGTGTATAATAATGAAATATATATGTATGTATACGTGTGTGTATTTAGCACAGGACAAGTTATATAGTAGGTGCCCAAATATATGCTAGATCCCATAAGGTGTTTCTGACTTCTTAGAACTATCCAACGGCTCATGGTCCATTCCTAATCTCTGCTCAACCCTCCACCTCGCTTTGGCCAGATCCTTGAAGATGAATGTGGATCATTGCCCTAACAGGTTAGGTGCAAATATCTTTGGAGTTTAATTAATTGAGTGGCCTGAATAAACATAGGTGTTTGATTTGTTAGTGAAATTTGAGTTAGAGAAGTTACCGCTGTTTTCCACAAACTATGTGCTCTTGCAAGAAACTTGTTACAGTCTGTTCATGGGAAGCCACAGATTCTAAGTTAGAGAAACATCCTTGGATTTTGAGGTTGCATTTATGAAACTCATTTTCTGATTTTGAAGTAGGGTAAGTTAAATACATATAATAAAAGTGAATACTTTTAAAAATGCAAATAATGTAGTTCCATAACTGACCTGTTGAATTTGAATTTTAGGAACTAATTTCAGAAATCCTCTTTTTACCATAACTTGCCTCAGGTGATTCTTCTTCACTATTGTGACTGAGAATCATTGAACAATTGCTTATGTTGCCCAACTGCAAGGGTGACTGCTATCAACGAATGGTTGGAAGGGTTTTCTTATGAAAGAAGTCTCTATTAATGACCAGGATGCATTCTTGGAAATGCATCACCAGGACATACTAATTAAAAAGCAGTACCCTGTTAAAATACATTGTTTATGGTTAGAAGAGCAGGCCAATGAGAAGTTTCTGGGAAATTGAAAGAATCTTAACTATCCCTTCATGTCTTTAACTGCAATCATTAAGATATTGGCTGATTCCTGCTTTAATTCTCTTTATTCTCTTATATTAATGCTTTTCTTCAACATGAATATTAAAATAACTTTAAAATCAAATTATTTTTTCTGAAAAATCTTATTCATGTAACTCATTTCTAAATGCTAAATTTACATAGGAGATCTCCATATTTAAGGATTTCCATTTGAAGTAAAATTTAATTCCTATAATGGGGAAACTATTTTTTTTTCATTTTATTTGAAAATAAAATAAAATCCTATTTGATCTTAGATACAATGTGAAGAAAAGTTTAGGGAGACTTTCATATAAAAAAAAATGTATCCCCAACCACTGGCTTTCCTGGCATCACCTCCTCCCTCTGTCAAGAGTGACCTATGGATCTTGCCCACAGTGGTGGTAACTCACTTCTGCAACCATAGGATTCTATCTAAGCAGCCATTTCTTTCCAGTTTCCAATAGTTAGAATCTGATGTTCTCTCTAGGAATAAAATGCTTGTACTATATAGTTTTAATATTATATTATACTATAAATTTAATATTATATCAGTGAAATATATTACATTAATATTTCAGTGAACCATTAAATCTGCAAAGGTTTTCACATCTGTCTTTATGAAATCCTGTCCATTTCTATTTTCTGAAATCACATCAACACTCTTCAGATTAAGGTATTTTGAAAATGAATTTAGAGACTTTAAAAAAGTTCTCTATGCAATTCTTTCATTTATGGTCTGTCCTGTGAAGACTAGCTGCCTTGGTCTCACCAGATTCTGAACTTCATCTTCTAAGTTTTAGGAGTTCATCACCTTCTGCCTGGATTTCCCTTCAGTGTGTTGCACTCCAGAAACTCTCACAGCAAAAAGCTGGCCGATTGTAGGGCTTACTTCATTCGTGTCCTGTCTCTCAGGATTATTGCTGTCCTTCGTTGCCTGATGTCCAGCATTCTGAAAACTGTCATTTTATAAATTCTGTGTTTTTAAGTCATTTCAGATGAAAGAATAAGTTCAGTGCCTCTTATTCCATCTTAGGCAGAAGAAGTCATGGTCTGTGTGATTGATACAATTCTGAGAATTGGCTTTGATATGAGATAAAGTGAGTATAAGATTATAGTGATGCCAGTAGAGGTGTTGGGTGAAAATGAAAGGTTCATCATAAAAGACTTGAAAGAAGAACAAAAAAATTCAAAGTCAGCCCAATGAATTTCACAATTTTACTGAATTATAGGCCGGAAATGTTGGCTCTAAGCAGTAGAGAGTAGCTTCATTGCCAAGTTCTGAGACATGTCAGCATGGTGATAATCTCTCTACATTTTATCAGATGATTTTTTCTGCATGCATTAGGATAATAATATAATTTTTATTTTTCAGTCTGTTAATATAGTACTACACTAAGAAATTCTATAAAGTTGCACCATTATTGGATAAATCATCCAGGAATAAATTTCATTTAGTCAAGAAACATTTTAATATAATATTGGCTTCATTTTATAAAAAAAAAAAAATTATTACTCTTGCATCAGCCATACTAATTAGTGAGATTGTTTTATAATACTGCTCCTCTCTTCTTTTGATTATATAAAGCTTATATAAAAATCTTCTCTTTTTTATTTCTGTAACACTTTTATATAAAGTAAGAAATTTGTTTTCCAGAAAATTTGGCATGATCACTTATAAACATGTAACAGCCTGGTATATCGTGGGAGAGATTAAGTGGGAGAAAGTATTGCTACCAAAATAAAATTTATCTTATTTTTATTTTGTTCTTAGCAAAACTTATTTCATTATTATTCAAATAAGTAATAGTTTACTTATCATTTCTACTATTTATATGTAAAACTTTTCACTGCAGAATTACATATGTTTGGAGGAATGCACTATTAATAACTTTATAGCCCAATACAAATTTACCAGGTAAACACACCCTGTAACCAGCACTTAGATTGAGAAACATTGCCAGTACATCAAACTCTCCCTCACTGACCTTTCCATCTCTCCCCGTTAAGGGTAATCACTGTCATCACTTTCAATGCATACATTATTCTTTTCTTGAACATATTTAAATGAAATTCTATAGTATGTATAGTATCTTGTCATCTGTAAATCACAATTTTGTCTCTTTGTTTCTATTATTTACAGCTTTTATTTCTCTTCCTTGTCCGATTGCCTGGATAAGAACTCTAGCAAAATGTTAAAAAGAAATGGCATAATTAGAATCCTTGGCTCATTCCTCATCTCATGGACAAACCTCTTAAAAATTCACACAAAATATAATGTTTCCAGGAGATCATTATCCTTAGTTTGCTATACAGTGTTTTATCACAAATGGGTGATGAATTTCATCCAATAAATTTTCTGCACTTACTGAATTG